ATACTCCAACCACTTGATGTTGGCTGTTTTGGCCCATTAAAGAGAGCTTACGGTCGGCAAATTGAAGATATGATGCGGGCTCATATTATTCACATTACTAAGGATGACTTCTTTCCTGCCTTCCATGCTGCATTTAACATTGCAATGACAGAAAGCAAGATTCAGGGAGGGTTCCGAGATGCTGGGCTTTTTTCATTTAGCCCTGAGAGTGTAATATCTACACTTGACCTTAGGTTTAAGACGCCAACACCTCCAACCTCTCTCCCAAACATCGCTCAACCATGGGTTTCTCAGACACCAAATAACCCAACTGAAGCTGTATCACAGTCTACTTTCATTAAAAACCGAATTGCGCATCATCAAAATAGCTCTCCAACCTCAATCTATGCAGCTGTTGACCAGTTTACAAAGGGTTCATCGCAAATAATGCATCAATTAGCATTGTTAAAAGCAGAGAACCAAAACCTGCGACAGGCAAATGAAGTGCTAAGCAAGCGCCGGAGAGCTAAAAAAACACGACTACAGCAAGGAGGATCACTTAGTCAACAGGTAGCACAGGAGCTACAGGACGAGAGGGACGTTGTGCAGCAAGTAGAACAAGAAATAAGGGCAAGTAGTGGTCGGAAGCCAAGGGAAGAAACCCATGCACGTCGCTGTGGCAAGTGTGGTGAGACTGGACACAATGCGCGCACTTGTCAGATTGTAATAGACAGGTCTGAGGAAGAGGACTCTGAGTAGTTTTAATTAATTTATATTGTTGTGGTGGATTTATCGCAATTCTTATGGGGTAGTCACGATATTTTGGCACTTTCGCTTGTTTGGCACTTTCGCTTGTTTGGCACTTTCGTTATACATGCACGTTAATTAGTGTAGTATAGTATAGTATACTATTTAATTGAATAAGAAGGTATATTTACCGAAGATAATGCTTTACTTTAACTGGTGAATCCTGACCCCACGATGTAAGACTCCAGGTCTTCTGCTCATATTTGAGTGGCGGCCGGTATCGACGCTGAGATCTTTCGAACTGAAGCTGGCGGCGGCGACGGCGTACCCGTAAAAGGAGTAGACTGGTAGCAATAGCAGCTATTAGTATTTGCTGTCTATGAACTGGCATTAGAACGCTGGTGTTGGTACTGGTGTTGGTGCTGTCATTTGAGAATTTGCAATGCTTTAGAAGGTACTTCGTAGAAATGCATCTATAACCAATTTTATATGGCAATTGCATCAGGGGTAAGTACTATTTCTAGCTAACAAAACCTGTAAGCAGGAAAAAATCATTTTGGCAAGAAATGGGCGCGAAGGTGGTGGCGGTCGCAAAAGGGTACATATAGGTACTTCAACTTGCATATATATATATGGCAATAGAAGTACCATCATGTATCTTTTCCAGCCGCCACCACCTCTCCCCCCACCGGCCCAGTTCCAAAGCACTTACTGAAGTAGAAAAATTTATCAAAGGCCAGTATTCTACAGAGGGAACAAAGGGCTCTAGTCACATAGGGGATTACAAAGGGAACGCCGTAGGGGGTATGGCCGGAAGGGGAGAATTACATACAATTTACTAGTAATTTCCCTTGTTAGGTCATAGCTAAACTCCAGTTTCCGCAGCTCTCCCATTTCTCGCCAAAATGGCCAAGTCCAGCGTTGTAAAATGGGAACGATTCAAGCAGGTCCAAAAATTGTCACTTAGGGGGTAATGTGAATTTTGATATTACTATATTAGGCATAGCTACTTCTATTAACTAGGGTCTATGAGTGCTACAATCAACTGAGCCTAGGCTATATACTATGCCTCTATAGTAGATTGGCACCTTCTTCTTCAGGCCTTGGCCAACAACTGTTCGGCCTGGCTGCTAAAGCCATCTAGTGGGGCTAGAACCACCCCATCAAACTTACCATCTTACCTACCCAACTCCATTATGGTACGCCGAAAGAGCATAGAAGCTCAAGAGCGTAATATTGCAATAGATCAAGCTATATTAGCTATTCATTCCAAACAATATAAGTCAGTGTATGTAGCTGCCAAAGCATTTGACCTCCCAGAACAATCTATCCGTTGTCGTATGAATGGAGGCCTCACACGCGTAGAAGCACATAAAAAACAACAACTATTATCAAAAACGCAAGAAGAAACACTCTTAAAGTGGATTAGAGAGCTAACAAGTAGCGGATATGCACCTAGCCACCGAATGTCATACTGACATTCGTTGCACTCAGTTTGCTATCAAACTCAAGAGCAAACTTAGAAATCTCCTCCTCAAACCTACAAGTCACCATACATATCTTGGCTTATCACACCAACAACAGAAGCAATACTACTCAACGATTGCTGCAAACTCTTCTACTACATCTGTTTATGCTACATACATCACGGCATATCATTTGGACACTCATTGAACAAGTTATTAAGAAAATCTCCTCCTTAAGGGGGTGGGCCAATACTACCACATGGCATATCTCTACCAACTAGAGGCCTAGGAACATGAACGATAGCTCTAGAAGCTTCTACAACCCTCTATGATTCATTACACGTCATCGCTCCTTAGTTACCCACAAGATTGGTTAAGTTATGACATAATTTGTCTATAGGTACTCTGACCTTGGACCTCCTTTTCACTTCCTATAGGCTAGGAACCCAAGAGATGGTTCTATGGGATTCTCTTACGTTCACTACATGATTAGCAAGCTAGTTGTGGGTCGCACTTGATTTCTAATACATTTACCAAGCCTGGTTAGTCATGGAAAGTCATGGAAAATGAGAGAACTACACTCCTTTGGCATAAATAGGATTGCCCTTTCCTTAAGAAAGGGCAAGCAGGCAATACAGTAAATCGACTAGCACATACTTCTACGTCTTTTCCAAGCTTCCAAGCATTGATCTTGTTATTCTCTGTTTTTGAAAAGTCAGTGAGGTGCTAACCTCTGACTTACCCCTGAGTTCTCAGACTCAACATTTGTTGCAACTTGTCTAAACCACTTCACCACATCATACACCTGATTGCTGCGTTGTGGAATAGTCTAAGCTACAACCCTTTGGCTCTGTTTCCTAAGACAGTGTGTTGTCTTAGTAATCCCTTCCTTGGGTGGCTAGATTCTCATATCTGGTGCACCCACCATTACACCGAATACTACGATAAATTGCAGAATAGGTTCGAGCAGACCATTGCCGGGTTTTTAATTTACACGACCAACTTCACAATCAACTTCACGAACAATTTCAACCTATACCACACCTTCCATTAGGACAAGATTGGGTTCCACGCTTTATTAAACGACATCCACATCTACAAGTACGACTAGGAAGATGAATTGAAGTGCAAAGGATGAGTGGAGATACAAAACAAGTCGTACAAGGGTGGTTTGACGCGTATAAGGAGCTTATAATGCGTCTAGACATCAAAGAATACAATGTGTATAACATGGATGAGATGGGATTCTCAATCGGAACAATGGAATCTACACGGATTATTATTGACTATACACTTCGTACACGTCATCAAGCACATCAAGGTCGACAAGAATGGGTTTCTGCAGTTGAGTGTATTTGCATGGACGGCACAACTATCAATCCTCTTATTATATTCAAAGACCAAAATCTACTACATAGTTGGATTTCACAAGATGTGATAAATAAGTGGCACTTCTCTGCAAATTCAAAAGGATGGACAAGCAATTTACATGGACTTGTGGCTCAAGCATGTATTTGAGCCTGCAACATGTGCAAAAGCAAATGGAGGACAACAACAACGCCTTCTTATTTGCGACGGCCATGACAGTCATATAAGTGGGAATTTCATTTCTCACTGTATACAAAATCGCATATCAATCCTTATATTACCGCCACATACTTCACATGTGTTACAGCCACTTGATGTTGCAATTTTTGGACCATTGAAAAAGAGGCTTACAACAGCTCTTTCACATTTAAATGAAGCACAACTCCTACATGTGAAAAAAGCAGAGTGGCTATCTGCATATATAACAGCAAGAGAGTTAGAATTTTCAACTCAAAATATCACTTCAGCATGGAGAGGAGCAGGACTACAACCATTTGAACCACGACGAATTATCCGTGAAGTGACACTTCAAGAAGTTATTGAAGTTGAACAACGGCCTCAAACACCACAATGACATGATATTTTTGATACTGTCTTTCAAAATAGTAGCCCACCTGACTTTACAACACTACGGAAAGCAAATACAGTACTCTCTGCTATTCTTGAAGCCCGTACAGTGTTAAACACACCTACAAAGCGATATATTCAAAAGTTAGCAGATGCAACAGAGCGACTAAATACACGCAATTTTCTACAACAACGTGATACTGACAATCTACGATCAATTGTTCAAGCTCGGAGAGTACAGCAAAAAGGCAAGCGAGCAATTTTAAAGGGTCATTTTCATATTTCTACAAGGGAATTGCAGCTACAGGTCGTTGAAGCAGAGGAGGCTACTCGACAGAAGTCAACAGCAACAGGTAGTAGAACTACAAACAAGGCTATAATTGAGCAAGGAGATGAAGAATCTATTGAAGAGGACTTAGGAGAAGTATCTAATTGTATTTTAATTGAGGATTAGAGTATATATTTCACGATGTTCCAACCCCACTACCGCCAGTACGCCACGACTTACGTTATGCAAATGTTGATATTCTTACCTCGAAAAACACTGTACGGCCTCTTGCGTTTTGCAGCTTCCTCGGGACAAGACCGGTCGTCGCTTTAGTATCCGATACCAAGATAGACGGCATGTTTTGCCACGATAGTCCAACGAATTTTGGACGGGCTCATGACCACAGAGGACGGAAAGCAAGAAGCCGTGTTGCGCATAATTCTAAAAACAGTCTTTTGTGCCAACGAGGAAACTGGGCTCAGGAATCGGACAATGATAAAACCGAACCCCGAAGCCAGGCATCAACTTTTCGGTTACTAGCTCCGGAAAAACTGACGAAAAGCGGCACCAGTTCTTGTAACCCGTTAGGGGTTTCCTGTTCAAAGTCTTTGATGGTCTAACGGTCATGATTTCCGCTTGTCATTCGACAAAGCGCGGGAGACCGGGGTTCGACTCCCCGTCAGAGAGTTCATTCTTCTCTGAGCTCATGGTTCAGAATGTTTTTTTTTGTTAAATTTTTTTTTTTTTGCCATTTGGCATTATTGGCTGGGTTTTATTTCATTCGGTACTTCATTATGTTCTATATCAAGCCTCAATCCCCCCTCTTGTAGTATAGTATCCTCTCTCTAGCCATTTAAATCTAGATCCTGCTTTATTCTAAAAACGGGAACATCCTCTTTCCATTTCCCCTCCACAGAACAGACCACCAGCTTGTATGTAGCCGTATTCATGCCAAGTAGATATGCGCAATATGACACACGTCCCTTATTTCTTATTTGGTAGGGTTCAGCGCTGCCAAACGCGCAGCTTGGCGTGGCTCAATGAACAGCGCAGTGGCCTCTGCCAGCACCACAGGCGTCTCTCCCTCGCCAACCAAGGTCTCAATGTGACCTTCCACCCATGCCTTCCTCCCCTCCGCCTTAATCGTCTTAGCTCGCAGTGCAACGAAGGTATCCGCCGGCGCCGGGCTGCGGTAGTTGATGTTCAAATTCGCAGTCATGCCGACCTTGTTCGGTAGGGCCTCGAAGCAACAGCGTGCCAGGCCCTCATCCAGCATGGTAGCAAGGAAACCACCATGAATGATGCCAGGGTGACCGCATAGATCACGGCCGAGGTATGAGATGGTGACCATAGACTTTCCGCCCTCCTCATTCCAGGCAAACGGCGGGACGACGACGCGGTTGGGGCCGGTCAGGGTTCCGCCCGTGAGGCTTTGCTCGCGCACTCCCTTGGGAATCTTCAGATGCGGTCTCGACTCTCTGTACTCCGGCTTGCTCCTGAGCTCGCGCGCGAGGTGGTGGTTGTTGATGAAGTCCTCAACTTCTTGGGCTTTCGCATCCTCGGGGGTGTATAACGACAGAGTCTCCTCGTCGGAGGGCACGTTGAGAAACTCTCTCGCCGTGGAGATTGCTGGTGCGGCCGCCATCAGGAAGCCCGCAGTGGTGAATCCGACTGCAAGTGCGGTGAAATAAAGTATTCGGAGCGGGAGTGATTTTTTGGCGGGGGCAGGTATGGATTCTAGCAGCTTTAATCAGTACAGCTTGTGAGCATTGGGGTGGAGGCAATTACCTGCAGCAGTTCTCCTATACGTTGTGTTTGTGAATGTACGGGAGCTCGAGTGAGGAAAGAAATTGGGTTTGGCAGCAGCGGGCTTTGCACTTAAGTGAGTCCTTGAGAGGCCCAACAATATCTTGTTCTGCCCACCGGGCAGTCGCATAATGGCCGACATTGGGACAAGCACGCTAGGCAGCACCAACAGAACGGAAGCCGGTGGTAAGAACTATTCCTAGCGATAGGATTGGCGGTAGAGTGGGTCGTTCTGTTGAAGAATTCGATATAGAACGTTGAGGCAAGGGGAAACCCGAATTGCGTGGCCAATATGCAGGGACGCGACGAAAGAGCCTCGGCTTGAGTGGTTAGAATCGGTCGGTGTGGCGGCGACTAACAGGCCGAGCGTCGGCGGCAAAAACTTTGCCGCTCCAACTTTGCCCAGGGGGTTGGAAATATGAAACTTCTGATAAGCACCAATTAAGATTATACCACAAGGTTACGACAGAAGAGTCTATTTCTGGATTCCGTCGGGTTTCGACAATAGGCTCCAATGTAGAAAACTATAGCTTCGTTAAATCAAAGCCCAGAATATTGTCTCAAGCATTATTGGAGCAAGAGCACATTGACATTTATATATATATCAAGGAGCATTAGAGAAATTCAAATTTTATCAAAGGAGATAGAGCGAAGCACAAATCACTCAAATGTTGAAACAAAAGGGAAGGTAGCCACTAAACCTACCATTGAAGCCACACAGGCTCACCCTTAGACAAGCTTAAGATTGCATTCCCTAATACTGTAAGGATGCCTCCTTACCTAGATACTCGAAGAACCTGCCTCAGAGCTGTTACGGTCACTACAAGCATGAAATTTGACTCGGTGTGGTTTCGAACCAGTAGAGGAGCACATAGCGAGTTACACTATAGTGGGGGACGGTAAGGGTCTAGGGTTCAGGGTCGATGCGGACCTGTTGCGGTGGAAGGTTCAGGGCTAGGGTTGGAATAACCGAGTCGGGCCCGTTTCGGGTAGTTAAGGAAACAGACTTAACGGGGTTCCCCCTTCATCTTTTTTGTATCCTTCATAGTAGACCTATAGGATAGCATCCGTTTAGCCTCCGACTCGCACTCTCATATGCTATTACTGTGAGCTGGGTGCCCTGTGTCCTTACAAATACCTATCATAGGAATTGCAAGAAGCTCAAGAGTTTCTCATCTAGAGGGAGCTATAGATAGCATTTAATGCCAGACACTTCACCTAAGAAGTGGAACAGATCCTATAGGCCGTGGCCCTCCTACAAGGACCAGCCTTAGAATGGATCTCTAATTACCTCGCCAACTACATGACCCATTAAACATCAGAAGGAAAATGCAACACCTAAGCCTGCTAAGGAACGAAGGAGATTTTTGTATCCTAGGCTGGATTCACTAGACAACTTAAAGCAAACTTTAGAGACATCGATGAATTATGGAATGCAGTCAGGGCACTATAGGCTCTTAGGCAGAGAGGGCTAGCAGTTGCATACACCACTGAGTTTCAACAGCATGTAACACTTACCAACTAGGGAGAAGAGGCTATCTTTGACCAATTCTACACAAGTCTAAAGGACCATGTAAAGGATGAAATCTCAAGGACCGACAAACCAGATGACCTTAGGGAGATGATCGAGTTGGCCTAGAAGATTAACAACCAGCACTATAAACGGCAACTTGAGAAGAAGGGGGGACCACCTAACCAACACTGGACTTAGAAGAGAAGACAAACAAAGAGGTATTGGCTCTAACCTATGGAACTCGACACTACTTTCAAGCCTAATGGCAAACCCCACAATCCTAACAAAGAGCAACAGCTTAAGGAACGGCTCTGCTTCAACTGCAACAAGCCTAGACACATGGCGCAAAATTGCAAGTAATCAAAGAAAGGGAACAGCAGATGAAAGTATAGCAAACAGCTTAATGCTACTTGGCAAGGCCAGGGCGGGTACAATCCCTACAAGGATAGCTATGTGCCATGTTATAGGGAGAAGAGATATAGAGCATTAGTGCCTAGGATCTCTAGGAATTCGACACGTCAAACAGAGAAGACAAGAGTGATGACTTCATAGCCATTGAAGTTAAAGAGCTCACTATGTTAAGTCAATACAATTGGTAACACGTGTAAATATCGTAAAAGTGAATATATTGTTATATTGAAATGCCAAGTATTATGTAATCCACCTATCTAATGTCTCCTAAACCAAGGAATTAAGCTGAATTGCCTCAATTTCACCCTCTAAGCGCTCTAATGCCCTGAGGTGATTGGCTTAGATAGCATCCTAACACTCCGTATACTCAATCAGAACTTTAAGGGCATTGCGAGCATTGGAGGCTGAATAAACAGCCTCTTCAGTCTTAGGCTCCTCTTCTTCCTCATCATTTTGAGTAGGATCACTAAGATGCTCATCCAAAATCTCCTGTAGTATACCCTCCTCATCTGTTGTAACTTCTGTATTGTTGATTTGCTCGTCGATAGGATTTAAAAAGTTTGAAATAGTCATTGAATCATGTATATTACCAGCTTGAATAACTTGTTTGTATAGTTTTAAAAATTCTGTTAGTGTGATTGAGGTTGGAAGAGTGATTAGAGTTGTAAGAAGTGTTGATTTTCGAAAGCAATTGTATGTAGTTGATTATAAAACTTGTTAATTCCAGCTTCGTAAGATCTAGCGAATTGAAAGTCGTAAGCTTGCTTGCTTAATCGGATCTAGATTCGAATTATAACATTCAAGCATAAAAGAGAACTATTGTCAATGGTAATAAGCTTTAAGAGATTGAATAATGCATTAAGAGGCTAGAATCGAGTGGTACTATTAGCTAGAAGCTAACAGATCCGAATATTAGGAGGTAGGGGACAAAGCTTAACACTAGATAAGTGTTTAGAAAAGTTGTCCATTATAAGAAGGACTTGTCAAGTAAAGCCAATATGTCGATAAAATGCTTAAAGCTAGTCGATCATAATTGTTGAATTCATCCAAGCCTTTTTATTCCACCTCTACTTAGCTCCTATTGTAGATATATTAATATTATGTAAAGATCGAGGTGTTTTTGCTTTGCTAATAATCTAGATTAGAAGCTGGTTAGATCTAGAAGCATTTGTATAAAGAGTAAGTGTAATTCGAGCTTTTTGCTTCTTTAATCTAGGTAATGATTGTGATGCTAGTCCCCGAGATGGCATCATCTTCTAGTAGAGCCTAGTTTCATCTATATTATAAATATTCTCCTCCTTAAACTCCCTAGCAATTGTCTAGAGCCCTTTTATCTCTTCTTCAACTAATTCCGGGATAGATACTGCTTTGCTATAACGTGTATGTATCTTAATATTATGTCATGATTTAAATCGTGTAAGCCAGCTAGAGCTAAAGTCAGGAACTAGCTAATCTACATACTATAGAAGCCTTCTCTAGATCTCCCTCGCCTTTTCTTAAAGTATATCACTAGATGTAAAGCTACCATGGCTATTAATTTGTCGCTGAAAGTCGTAGAGGATTTGTTCAAGTTGAGGCCATTAGCTAGTTCGATTTCGTTGTCTAGTTGTTGTCGAGTTGTTGAGATGTTTAAAGCAGTCACTAAGGCTATCTGATATTGTCGATTGACTGAGCCTATTATTGAATTCGTGAAGAAACCAGTTGATGCAGGCTTTCTAGGAGGGTTTCGGGTGCTGTTTGTGTGCCTAACGCCGAAGGGCACAGCACTGTTCGAGTGTAATCGTGTGTTTTCGAGGCATAATAGAGTTGGATAAGTCGATAATTGAAGGTCAGAGGTCAATATCGTGAATATCGAGAATTGAGTGCGAAAATCAATTGGTGCTGAAAAAATATCGACTTAGCGGTGTTATCGACTAATCCGACATCGTCTTGGCAAGAGTGGACTGTAGCTTTTAGAA